TAATAATCAGTAATCAATGATTTCTCATCAATAAACGTGCATTTAGCACAGGATTAACAATCTCACAGGCATAACAACTCCACAGTACATGTGTGTAGTAGCACATGTTAAACTGGCTTATGTCAGTGTGCAGGCTCGGATTAGCCAATCACAGTGGCGTCTGACAGCCGCAGCAGCCTCAGGCTAGAGGTGAGCTTAAAAATGACTGACAGGCTGTAGGAAAGATGTAAGATGATGGCATCTAGCCAATAAGGGGGTGCGGAGCAGCAGGGGATGACAATTGACTGAGGTGACAGACAGGCAGTGACACAGACCTGTCATACAACCTTCTGTCAAGGGCATTGGGGTCTTTTGTTGACACTCTTCACAGCTCCTGACTGCCGTAATTTCAGGAGAGTCAGGCAAGTTTGTGTTTATTACCTCAGACAAGAAAGAGATGGTCCCAACATTTGGCTCAGCTCCCTTCCAAAAAGCACATACACCTACAAAGGGGTAAAGTTCCTGGTATAAGGTGTAGTTGTCTCAAATAGTTTCCCTTTGTCATGACCTAAACAAAGAAGCCAGCAAGGCTACATACTGTACCTCATGTAGCCAGGCCACAGCCAGTCCATCACATTACACAGTAATACAAGACATGGGCAGGGCACATGAGGCCTTTCTCAGCAGATTATTTTGGGCTCACTACTGTGTCATTATATGGCCTCCTGCTCTGTATTTAGGCCTGTAGATTGTAGGGCTCAGATTGGGCAGAGCTGAGGTGGGCTCTCACTCTGCTGAGTTGAGGGCTTTGACATTGGCTTGGTCGTTTGATGTGTTTATGTGGTGAAAGCCGGCCATGTGCTTGAGCTGTGCAACTGCCCCCTCCCCAGTAGTCACTCCTCCCTCTCTCACTCTTTCAGGGATTTCTGTTCCTCATCTCTCCTCTCTGTTGGTTTGGAAACAGCCCTAGGAGAAGTTGAGCTCCCCGGTTTACCATTACAATATGTCTTATCTCCACCTTATCTGTGGAGGATTTCATATCTGTAGTGTCTTCTGAAAGGGGTGCGTGCGTGTGCACATGTGTGCGCGTGCGCTCTCTCTCTCTCTCTCCTTCCCTATAATCAGCGATCTGCGGGAGGGGCGGAGCCGAGGCGCCGTGACTGTAACGCGATAGCTGCTCAGCTCAAAAGCTCGATCGCTCACACACAAACCCTACACACACCTCTCCGTGTCGTACACAGGACACACGCTGGTGTCTGAACTGAACGCAAGCTGTACGAAGCCGCTACCAGGGGGACACACAGGGGAAGAGGAGCGGTGCCGCAGGAGGTGGACTGACATGACCGGCATTTTTGGGAAGCAAGAGCGCAACACTTTTTCTTATTTGTTTTCCTCCAACTTAGATGCTGCGTTAAAAACCAGCTTCTGGTCATCAGGCTGAAGGTTCCAAGACTTTAAGAGCCGTTACCGGGGACTTCAGCCCTCTCAGGAAAACCGACCGTCGTGTGCGCAAAATACGCTGGGACGCACGGGAAAAGGTACGGGCACTGGGAATCTCTCAGTCGGAAAGTGACTCACCCTGGAGCCGGTGCCCAGACTCTGCGGAGTGTAGGTATCGCTCGAAGCCTCCCAGCAGCGGTGCGCCAGCAGTGTTGATCAAGGAGTTTGTTTGTTTACTATTTTTTTGATGAGGTCAAGTCGTTTCATTAAATGGACATGTTTTAAAGGCAAAGGGCTGCGCAAATAGAAATCCCTGAATTTCTTTAATGACATGTAGTTGGCATATAGTTTTCTCCACCGATGGTTTAATAAAGCGTGGGATTATTATTGACGTGCTCCCAGTTTTTGGTGCCGAAAAGTTGTGGATTTTTGGAAGAACAGCTGAATTTATATCCTAGAAGACGGAAACATTAGACACTTAAAGCTCCCCACGAGTTTCTGCACCATCCAAGATGGATTTTGTGTCATCGATGATTGGATTTTTAATGGCAATGTGTCATCTGGCGTTGAGAGTGAAAGGAGAAGAGGGTGAGTTTAAGTTCTTCGATTTTGACGCACGGAACTATCTCAGCCAAAACGCGTAAAATGGAAATATTCTAAATCACAGAAGCATGGCTGTAGTCTGACTATTACATATAATTTAATTTGCCAGGAATATGCATTACTACTATTATCACGAGCTCTTTGTCATGTGTTTTAAATTATGTCAATACACATAAGCGCCTGCATGCCCAATGGGAAACTGGGTCAGTGCAGCAGCAAAACCCAATGTGAAGTTAAAACTACAAACAAAACATTCTGAAGATTAAAGATGCAGCATTTTAATACAGAGATCCTATAGAGCACTGCCTCCAACCTGTGAACTGGTGTGTGTGTGTGTGTGTTTAACCATTTTGATCAATTTGTTGTGAATTTACCATCCCTAAAAATGATTGGAAAGAGCTGATATTGCTAGTTGAGGCATCACTTTAATAAATATCAAAGGAGATTTTAAAACTCTCTCCTTGACCCTCGGCTCTCCCTGTGGCTCCTCCCACCTACGCACACATAGATGCTGATAGGGTCAAGTCGAGGCTATCTCTAGTTTATCTCCTCCACCGTTAGATCCAAAGACGTGTCTGTCTTGAAGAGAAGAAAGCTGAAGGTCGTGACCGGGATCACTCCGCCTCTCAGAAAGACCACTAGATGTTCACACAGAGTCCTCTTCAAAGCTACAGCCGGCTCACTGCTTAAACACACTGATGGGATTCGGGGGGGGGGAGGAGTGCTGTTGAGACAGTGGAAGAGGTGGGGAGGTGTGTATGTTTGTGTGTGACTGAGATGGGGGAGAGAAAGAGGGAGAGTTATCAGTCATGCTGTCAGTCACCAGAGCAGGTTGTGATAAGAGAAGCAGTATGGCAGTGGTTGGTATCTGTCTCTCCTTCACAGACACATAGCGGGGGGAGAAAGACCCTGTTGTGTTTCCATCCACCGCCCATGAGTGAGCACAGCACAGGTGTGCCGAGGTGAGGAGTTGGACTGTATGGCAGCCATTTGTTGACTGGGTTTTGGGACTGAAGGTTGACTGAGGGAATACAGATGGTGAGACCTGGGGGAAATGCATTTGAAAAAAGGGTTCACATATTGCAGCTGCAGGTTAAGTGTCTGATTTCACTGCCATGGTACTTAAACAGCCTCTGACACTGAGGCATGCAGCATCCTGTGGCTTTTTTAGACCGGGGCTCATAGCCTGCAATGTGCTTGCCAGGATATGAGTTTCATCTAAGTCATTTACAGCATATCCTCCTCATTACTCCATAAAAAAATGTGTTTTGCTTTTTTCTACTGCAGCTTCCTTTTAAATGAATTGAGGAATAGATTTTATAGAAAGAGGTAGGCAACATGGTGAAGTAATTACTGAAACTCATGTTTCTTAAACAGAAAAAGGCACCATGAACTCTGAAGAACACAGCAGCATTTAAAATCCTGCCAAAAACGGTAACAGTACATATACAGCCAAGATTTGTAGAGTATGTATGAAGGCTGCAGTATAGACACTGCCTTGTCAAGTAACAAAAACACATTTCACCCACAAACCTCCTTCTGGATTTCTCTCTCAGCTTCTCTTGTGGACTGTTGCCCTCCATTAGCCATGCATTGACCCAATGTTTTGGGTGGTTGAAGGCTGGTAGTGGGGGCAGAGATGTTGACAAATGGGAGAGAGGAGTATCAAATGACCCCTGGGGAATGGGAGGGGGCACACAACAGAAAGTGAGCCGGTGTTGCTTTAAAGTTTTATACTGGCTGTGTTTTCCCTTCCTCTCTCTGTATATCTCGATGAAAGCGTCATTACAGAGGCTAAGCAGAGATCACCTAATAATCAGTAATCAATGATTTCTCATCAATAAACGTGCATTTAGCACAGGATTAACAATCTCACAGGCATAACAACTCCACAGTACATGTGTGTAGTAGCACATGTTAAACTGGCTTATGTCAGTGTGCAGGCTCGGATTAGCCAATCACAGTGGCGTCTGACAGCCGCAGCAGCCTCAGGCTAGAGGTGAGCTTAAAAATGACTGACAGGCTGTAGGAAAGATGTAAGATGATGGCATCTAGCCAATAAGGGGGTGCGGAGCAGCAGGGGATGACAATTGACTGAGGTGACAGACAGGCAGTGACACAGACCTGTCATACAACCTTCTGTCAAGGGCATTGGGGTCTTTTGTTGACACTCTTCACAGCTCCTGACTGCCGTAATTTCAGGAGAGTCAGGCAAGTTTGTGTTTATTACCTCAGACAAGAAAGAGATGGTCCCAACATTTGGCTCAGCTCCCTTCCAAAAAGCACATACACCTACAAAGGGGTAAAGTTCCTGGTATAAGGTGTAGTTGTCTCAAATAGTTTCCCTTTGTCATGACCTAAACAAAGAAGCCAGCAAGGCTACATACTGTACCTCATGTAGCCAGGCCACAGCCAGTCCATCACATTACACAGTAATACAAGACATGGGCAGGGCACATGAGGCCTTTCTCAGCAGATTATTTTGGGCTCACTACTGTGTCATTATATGGCCTCCTGCTCTGTATTTAGGCCTGTAGATTGTAGGGCTCAGATTGGGCAGAGCTGAGGTGGGCTCTCACTCTGCTGAGTTGAGGGCTTTGACATTGGCTTGGTCGTTTGATGTGTTTATGTGGTGAAAGCCGGCCATGTGCTTGAGCTGTGCAACTGCCCCCTCCCCAGTAGTCACTCCTCCCTCTCTCACTCTTTCAGGGATTTCTGTTCCTCATCTCTCCTCTCTGTTGGTTTGGAAACAGCCCTAGGAGAAGTTGAGCTCCCCGGTTTACCATTACAATATGTCTTATCTCCACCTTATCTGTGGAGGATTTCATATCTGTAGTGTCTTCTGAAAGGGGTGCGTGCGTGTGCACATGTGTGCGCGTGCGCTCTCTCTCTCTCTCTCCTTCCCTATAATCAGCGATCTGCGGGAGGGGCGGAGCCGAGGCGCCGTGACTGTAACGCGATAGCTGCTCAGCTCAAAAGCTCGATCGCTCACACACAAACCCTACACACACCTCTCCGTGTCGTACACAGGACACACGCTGGTGTCTGAACTGAACGCAAGCTGTACGAAGCCGCTACCAGGGGGACACACAGGGGAAGAGGAGCGGTGCCGCAGGAGGTGGACTGACATGACCGGCATTTTTGGGAAGCAAGAGCGCAACACTTTTTCTTATTTGTTTTTCTCCAACTTAGATGCTGCGTTAAAAACCAGCTTCTGGTCATCAGGCTGAAGGTTCCAAGACTTTAAGAGCCGTTACCGGGGACTTCAGCCCTCTCAGGAAAACCGACCGTCGTGTGCGCAAAATACGCTGGGACGCACGGGAAAAGGTACGGGCACTGGGAATCTCTCAGTCGGAAAGTGACTCACCCTGGAGCCGGTGCCCAGACTCTGCGGAGTGTAGGTATCGCTCGAAGCCTCCCAGCAGCGGTGCGCCAGCAGTGTTGATCAAGGAGTTTGTTTGTTTACTATTTTTTTGATGAGGTCAAGTCGTTTCATTAAATGGACATGTTTTAAAGGCAAAGGGCTGCGCAAATAGAAATCCCTGAATTTCTTTAATGACATGTAGTTGGCATATAGTTTTCTCCACCGATGGTTTAATAAAGCGTGGGATTATTATTGACGTGCTCCCAGTTTTTGGTGCCGAAAAGTTGTGGATTTTTGGAAGAACAGCTGAATTTATATCCTAGAAGACGGAAACATTAGACACTTAAAGCTCCCCACGAGTTTCTGCACCATCCAAGATGGATTTTGTGTCATCGATGATTGGATTTTTAATGGCAATGTGTCATCTGGCGTTGAGAGTGAAAGGAGAAGAGGGTGAGTTTAAGTTCTTCGATTTTGACGCACGGAACTATCTCAGCCAAAACGCGTAAAATGGAAATATTCTAAATCACAGAAGCATGGCTGTAGTCTGACTATTACATATAATTTAATTTGCCAGGAGCATAATGTGTGTGTGTGTGCGTGTTTCATCAGAATCAGAGGAACCATGATGACTTTTTCAAATTGAAGTTAGTGATTAATTCAGGTATATTCATGTCACACCTAAAACTAAAGAACATAGATGCTCTCATCAAATATTCAGAACTACACAGTTATCTGTCCCAGACAGACCGATCAGCTCATTGGACTGTAAATGAGTTGTTTATATGCATGAAGCTTTTGAAAATTCAAACACATTGTTTACCCCTAGTTGCCCGTTGTTTTTCTTTGATTTAATTATTCATCAAGGGAAATAAACAAACCCATACGTGTTTAAAATGCTACTTCACATCAGGGAGAAAAGTTTCTGACTAGGCTGGGCTACAGGCTGCTATTATACAAATTCGCTTGTGTCCAAGAAACCGTGCGTAAAAGCTACACTGCTAATGTAGGACTTTACTAATAGGACTGTAATCATCACCATTATAATCATTATGTTCATCAGCCACCGCCAAGCACTCCTTCATTATCTCCTCTTGCTCCTACGGGTTGTGTGTGCAGGGTGAAAGCTGGGCTGCTGGTGGCTAAGCGCCCGCAGCTCCAGGCGTCGGCGCACCGTCACCTCCGTGCGCTCTCAGCAATCAAATAACAATAAGTACAGAGATTATAGAGCAGGATGAGTCGCAGAATAACAGCCCTGCTGCTCATAGGAATCCACAGGCACTTAAGCAGGGCTAAAGTATGGAAGGGCAAAGGACACTGAGGCAAAGGAGTCCACATTTGATTTACTACTGCGGGAGCGAAGCTCAAGTACGATACGGTGCCAAATGTATTTAGAATCCTAATTAAATGTGGGTTTAACACCAGGGAGGACAGTAACGTCTGGTCACCTGGAGAGATAACGACTAGTTGTCTTTTCATTGTGTCACCAGAAACGTGGGATGTAGACCGACTTGGAGCTGTTGGTGGGAAAGGGCTGTATGCAGGGGTTTACCATACAGAGAAGTGACGCGGCTGCTGGGATGGCACATGGTCTCTCGCTTACTCATCTTTGTAAGGCTCCTACTCAGGCATTCTTGTGTTTTTATTATGGTTCGACTCCAGCCTTTTTCACCACCTGTCGCCTGATGGATGGGTGTGCCAAAATGAGAAACGACAGTAGCACATTTTAATGTTTCTTTAATGGTGTGTGTGTGTGTGTGTGTGTGTGGGTGATATTTAATCAGATATGTTTCTTCTCCTATTATGATACATTGAGTATTCCACATACTATAAACAGTCTTGAATGCATTTTGTAAAGTCTACATTTGGCTGGACTGCTGTAGTTTTTTCCATGGGGAGTAATTGGGGTGACGCGCTGTTCATGATCCCATGATGAACGTTGAGCCTTTACACATCACCCGCTGCTCTGCCTCAGCCTTTTCACGTGGGCTCTTTCTCTTGTTGAGGCTACTTGCTTTTAAAAAGGACAGGGATCCTAGCTATCCCTATATTTCTCTGAATTCTATGTACCCATTAATCAGAGTCAGATGTGGCCTCTTGGCAGTCAAAGGCAAGAAAGCCGCTAGCTCCCCCTACTCTCTCTCTCTGTCCTGCCAAGACACTGCACCACATGTCCCTGCCTCACTGCTCAAAAGCCACATTATACACAGATGCCAAAGGAAAGACTGAAAAAGAACAGAACAGAGACAGAAAAGGAATCTTCAGAGACTCAGAGGAAAGGGTGCAGCAGAGTGAGCAAGGGGGATTAGATGTGGGGACAGAAAAAACTAACTGCAGAGGAAGACACATGCAGTCCTGCCCAAGGCACAGAAAAGTGAGCATGGCATCCACCAGGCCATAACAAGAAGAAACAGGAGGGAACCAGGGAGAGGAAGAATCGGAGGAGAGAACTGGGGGTGGGGTGGCAGATTGTGCATCAAACAGAGTGAGAGAGGAAAGGGCAACATCAAAGCGTGTAGGGGTCACAGAGTTAAAATGGCACTGGACAGAGAGGGAACAGATCACATTGAGGGTTTATGAAATGACACTGTTGTCTGGGGGTGACACAGATAAAGTGGGGTAAAACTGCTGCCAGAGGTTAAAGGAAAACAACTGAAGTCTAGTCACCATTTAAAAAAAGACAGTCCCTCTTTTACAAAATGATGCTCCCATAAACGTTAAGCACACTTGAGTCACATTAAGATGCTGGGACATTTCCAGCTGTGGCCTGCTGTTTTCTCTTGGTGGTAAAAGGTCTCTGTTCATGTCTCAAGGTCTCTTTGCTGTAGTCTTCAAATGTGAAGAAGAGAGACTTCCTCTTCAGTAGTACTGTAATCACAATAGTTTGACTCAGTGACATGAACATTAATTACTCCTTGCCACAGGCGTTAATATTCAGGCCATTAAGTAGCTTATTTGCATGTTTATTGAGTGGGTGGCTGTGCATGCTCTCCACCTTTGCTATCGACTTTCTCCAGAGTTGGATTTCCGTTCTTTAATCTTTTCCAAATGTTAGCTCCTGGGTGAGTGGACTTTCTCATTTTTATCATTTTCACCCTGCTCTATTTGTTTATTCTCCCACACCTTTGCCTTTTCTCTTCCGCTCTCCGCTGCAACCTGCCCTTCACTTCTTTGCATTGCTCTGTTTTAATCTGACCCAGCCTCAGCGGTATCAGCTGTGAAAACAAGGTCGCTTATTAGCATTCATAGCCAAAGACAAACTGAACAGCTCGTTCAATACCAGTCAGGTATGAGAGCCACGGGCTCGTGCAAAGTCCTGGAACAGCCTGCCACACCTGGGGTGAAATTAAAAACAAGACCCCCATAAATTAAACAGTGCTGGGTCTTTCACTCTGCTGCATAAGCCACATGGGGAGGTCTTAACAGGATCTGGAGGGGGTCGCATTGTCGAGATGTAAAGCATTTTGAATTTACTGTAATTCATAAATGGGGTTAAAGGGAGAGGGTACAAGAAGAAACAATAAAGAAAAACACATTTTGTAAGAACACTTCATCCACAAAGGGTTTTTCAAGCAGTCGGTTCCACTGAAAGGTAACATTCTGTAAGGTGGGGGGTAGAGGGTGGCGACAAATCACCAGGACTCCTACAGCAAAGCTCAGTTCTTCACAGCTCTCCCTTGCTGATGTAGGCTTTGCTGCTTCCACTTTTAGACAGGGAGATCATTAGTGAAAAGTGCTTCAGTGGTGCAGGTTTGATGCTGCCACACAGAGACAAAGGAGTGCACCAAGCAAGACAGAGACATGATCCTGTAGTCAGGTAGTGTAGGAAAACACTGTTACACACACACACACACACACACACCCTCCAGGCACCAGCAACCATCTGTTTTTTCCGATTGATCCATTGAACCACCGATCACGATGATCATCACTGTGCATTTAGCTGATTAGCATGGAGCACTTATCCTGTTAGGGAGGGAGGAGTAGAAAGGGTGGAAAGGAGAGAAGACAAAGGAGGAGGAAAAGAGGATTTGGGGATATTATCTGCTTTAACTGTGGCTTTTGTTAGTTCTTAAAAGAAAAAAACCCTTCATAAAACACATTTAACAATGCTTAACAAAAAGCTGTTGTCTGTGTTCATTGCATTTCTGGCCTGAGTGTTCAATAGAAAATGCCGATAGTTTCTTCACCTACAGTGGCCTCAGTGCTACATCTACACTTCTAGCCCATAAGCCAGGGTGTAGTTTTTCCATTTTGTTCCATTTTCTAGTGTCATCGTGTGTGCTGAAGATAGCATTTCTAGTTTTTTTTTTTTATATTAGATTACTGTTAGCTTTCAAAATAACAATCAGATATTTTCAGTTGTATTTCCAGGTATACCTTTTTCACATGCAACAAGTAGGGTAACAAAATGACTCTAACAGCTTTGAAACAGGCATGTTTATGACATCACTGATGTGTATTTTATT